TTTCTAGTTCCATTTACCCAAATACCATTATGTGAATATCATTTTTCACTCTATTGTTTATTCATAGCAACTAAGACAGCATATATCTAAGTGGCCTTCCTAAGAATTTTCGAAAGAGGTATTTGATTCTTGTTACAAAAACAATAATATTATTTCTATAAAATATCTCTTCGGTTCAAATATCGATTTATATTTTACAATTCTCACGGTAATTCTACAAATTAATCCATTAGCAACAGACAATTCACAGAAAACAAAAATCATCAAATTATCAAGTTACTCGGCCATTAGATTTAAAATGTTGTACTATGCATAAACTTGATAATTCTTCTGTAATTATCACATCCATACCGTATACTAAACGACGCGTCTATGTTACGCCAAAGACAACTTTATCACCTTGTAAATAAAGACCATGTCGCTATCATATGGTATTTCATGTCATTGGCCGTTAAATTAGTTATATGTAGTAAGAAAGAGCTTAATTATTCAAGTGTGGGAGAAATAAAGACGGTATAAAAAGACCATTGCTACATAAATGGTTTTATAAATAATACCTGTATATTTAAAAATATTACTTAAAGAATGGAAACAATGTAAACAAATGAAAACAAAATCGTAATTAGTTATTTTTTATTTTATTTAACAAAGTACGATTAATTACATATTCTATCTTAATATAAACTAAAAAACGTCTAAACTGCTACGCATACCTACTATAATAAGTGTTTTTTTCACATCCTAAGGTTTAAATTCAAGTTTCAAGTGTCAACGACCCATAAGGAAGTCGAATCTTAGATTAACTTCCCTAATACGGACAGATTTAGATTAAAATTAAAGGTTTATGGTTATGTGCCTATCTTGTAAACATTTTATTAATAATTAAATTCCCGTGATGAATAAGTTTGATATTATTATTTTATCGATATTACATCATACATTTCCCAACACTATCCCATAACCCACGCAAACTTTTTTTTTTTCACATAAAAAAGGCAACCGATCCTTTCTCAACGACTAAGCAACGAATTATACAGCCTAAAAGCTCCTACTTTCAAAACTAGTTTATATCAAACGCCTTTGTTCTTTACACGCACTTAACAATTATTCGAAAAATCATGATCAAAATCAGTCAGAATCTTAAATAGAGGTTTTAACTCACCATCAAATAGAATCCTGTTTTTCGAAACACTAAAAATCTATTTGCACTCACAAACTATTTTATGGAAAAGAAAAAACACATCACCATAGAGCACTGGAATCTATATTCTAAATTTAAAATGCGTTACCATTTTCATTGAACAATCTTTTTAATGAAATTCTTTATCACATTAATTATTTCAACAAGATCATCTACACTAAAGGCACGTTAACGCCCCACCGCGACGCATCTTGACTGGATTGAAGTTGAGTTCGAGATATTTTTACCTGCGAAGGCAAAAAAGTTTCGTAAAGCTCAACTTTGTTTTCGTACAATTTCCAAACTTGCGCAGATAGTAATAGTGTCCATAATTGTGTGCGTAGTTGCATTTGCAGAAGTGTAGTGGTAAGTGTGAACGCGTAATGAATTTATACTCTTTACTGAAGCATTAGAGTAGAATTTGCTGTGTTGAAAAAGTTAAATTCAAGTCGCGCTTGTGCTTGCGTACATGTGTGTTGGGCAGTTGGTCAGAAACTATGATTCTAAAACTTTTATTTATTCTAACTCAGGCTCATGCACTTTAATGAACTCAGTGATTATATGAATGTAATATATAAATATAATAGAAATATAAGAGGAATAGTTTTTCAATAAGTTATTCAAAACAAATATTGTTCTTTTCAGTTTCTCTTGGTTTATTTCGAAATTATGGACGTAGACAGTAAACGAAATAAATACATTAATTACACTTTTATGCTTATTATATTTCAAATATTGCTTCAAGTAATTATGAAAAAAAATTAAGCTCGTTGCCACGTGACCACAAACACCAGTACTCATATCAGAACTTCGAGAATTCAATCTTATGCATACACAGAACGATATTAGTTTTGAGAGTGACATGACGTCTTGGCGACGCCATCACAGAAACAGGCGATTTCGCGGGAAATTGTATTAAATTTATACTTAGATTTGAACTTACTTTATGATTTTTTTATATAATTCATGTATATGTGTTAAATAAAAATAAAAAAGTTGTCTATACCCCTAATTAGGAAAGAACTTCAGTATTACATGTTATAATTAAGTTACAAGTTTGGTTACATTTCTCAATTACAAAATGTAAATTCTTTCTTCATCTCATTTTGTTAGATAACTATGCCTCTTATTTTCCTTCCTCTATAACGAGTCATGAGACTTTGAGAGCCTCTGGCTACAAACCGTGCGCTGAACAGGTTTTATGTTCAGTTGAAATAATAAGCCCCAGATATGAATTAACTCATTTCGGTTCACTATCTCAGACGCCGTCTTGTAGTAACACCTTGTAGGCACAAGTTATATCGTACTTTGATTTATTTATTTTACATAAAAAACGGCTAACAGTTACTGTTATTACAGAAGAATGGTACTTTAAGCTGTTGAGATACCTCAGTACATTTTGCACTGACACGAGTCGCAGTTAAAATAAAACTTCAGTAAAACTTCCTAAAATAGTAAATGAATATTCCAATAAATACATATTGAAGCTGGGTCGTATTGAAGCTGTTTAAAATATTTAAGTATTTTTTTAATCTACCGACCTATTAGATGGTATGTATGAATACGGTATTAGATAGAGCCGATGGGTTCGAATCCCATACGGGCTGAGAGTATCCAATTCTTTTTTCGTTATAGTAAGTTAATGCTAACAGTCATAACAATATTCATAGGAAAAGCATAATAAATACATACTGTATTGTACATTCACGCTCCAAGATTAATCTACGCGTTTGATTTTAAACTCTACGCTCAAAGATATAATGATTTCAATGATTTCAAATCAAACGGAAAAATTTGACAGTTTCGTAATTACCATGCATATTAGTGATATTTTGAGTTTTGGAATAACAAACATCACGCATACTTAATGCAAATTTAAGACTTATATGGTTTTCTCATAGATGCCAAAATGGGACCACATGGCAAGCACTAGCTTTCAATTAAAGAAAGAATAATCAAAATCGTTACACCCAGTAAAAAGTTATGTGGTAACAAAACAAAAAAAAAATACAGTCGAATTGAGAACCTCCTCCTTGTTTTTGAAGTCGGTTAAAAAGACAGATACCTATACTTAAAAAAATATCCTGTATGACTGATTCATCACCGCCGAGTGTAAACTATTGAAGTTGGATACCATAATCTTTAGTCAATACTTATTTTGTGGAATAACCTATCGCTATGGAAGGATTTTTCCAATTTTAACCCCTTAAGGCGATTTTGAGGTTGAAATTTTATATGAAAGTTGAACAATTTTGAAGTTTGAAGATTTAAATAAGTTTATCGTTTTCCTATTAATCATAAAAATCCTATTAATGAAAAATGGTTTAAAAATCCTCTTGGTCCCTGGCACCTGAGACGGGACATGAACTCAGGACCTTTCGCAATCTGGGCGACTTCTCCAACCACTGAGCCACCCAGGACCCAACAGGACTGACGAATCATTCAAGCACTTGCTACTTTTTCGCTGCTATAAAGCGTATCCAGAACTTTCATTACTAAACAGTACAACTAGTGAAAATATAATAATTTAAAACGCATTATTAGTCGTCATGGGATTGCGGAAATATTTGTTAGTGATGGTTGGTCCATAATTTTCTAGTGAAAAATCTGTTTTATTTTGTGAAATATGGAAAATTGTGCATAAATTTTCGATGCTGAATATCCGCAATCTAATGGTATGGTGGAAAGAACAATTCAAACTATTAAGAACTTAAGAAAGCATTACTTAAACAGAAAGCAATGTTAGAATTCAGAAACACTTGTACATTTCTTTTTAAAATTCATTGCCTGCACAAAATTATTAGCAAAAGGAAGTCAAGAGGTATTTTTCCATTGTCTTCAGAGAATTTTAAACCAAAAATTTTCCATAATTTAAGGTCACTCGAAGGAGGTGAAAGAGTAATTTTTAAAGTTGGTAAGCAATGGAGAAGAGGTGAAGTTGTATGTAAATTAGACGTCAAAAAATACAACACCTGTATAACGGTGTACACTTTATCGGTAACATTTACTAAACCATTAGCATTTGTTCCTTTTTATATTCCCGAAGATTTAAATACATCTCAACATATTAATGATACTCCGAAAGTTGAATTCCGAAGTAGTCCACTGATAAAGAATTCACAAGGACATATAGTCACTGCATCAGGTCATATGAGTCGCCCGCCTGATCGATTTGGTTATCTTATTTAATAGTTTACATTATTTTGAATTTTAATTTATGTAAGAGGTTATTTTTATTATATGAAAAAGAATTAATGATTTGTTATATAAAAAATATAAATGTCATTTGATAAAGACATATATATTTGTCAACAGTGTTTCCAATTAGTAATTTTCTCAGATTTATCCACCAAAAGATATGTCAAAGTACTAAAATGAAACGGAATATCGTCATATTATTCGCACCTCTACTACGTTTCTCCTATAACGATATTTTGTCTTGCCTCTATTGCACAGATAATTTTTACGGATGATTTCAACATCGACAATTAACAATTATCGAACCACGATGGCACCATACTCTGCTTCCATCTGCTTCGGCACCACTATCACCATCTACTCTAATTGTAATTAGTTTCAGTTTAACACGAAATGGCTTAGATATGGCATTCGAGTTGTGGGGGCTCGCTACGTCACAACTATGTAGAAAATATATAAAAGTGAAATAGACATTTCATCTCGGTGTGCGTAAAGAATTTTTATTATCAGATCAGTATATGCGAATATTACCCTTACTGAGTCATAAAATTTATTTCTATATACATGTATAGTATAGATACACGTAATGTTATATCAGGAATATCAAATCCAAAATAAAATTCAAATGATAAACGTGTTTATTACATTATCTACTTAAATCTATTCGTAATAGTTGATCTCTATGCTTCACTGTCCAGCCTTCTTAGGCACCCACGGTTCAATCTTCGGTCTGGTGGTACTGTATGGAGTATATTGACCAGTGGTACCTGATAGATTCTCAGTAAACTCAGCCATCCATTTGTACTTGGGGCGACTGGGATCCTGGAATTAATAAAACTAAAATTTATTTCCGATCAGAGAACAAAACTGTTTACCCTTCATTTGGGCCTCCGAGCTAATTTTGATACAGGTCTTTAAGGTATGCTACGCCACTGTTTCCGATATAAAAAATATAGTTTTATTTACAAAAAATATTTCAATGTTGAAATCTTTTAAATTTAGATACGCTTATTTTAGCTGAGAGACAAGATAATCAAAGCGGTTATTTTAAATAAAATGTAAAATATTGGCCATAAATACTGTAAGAAGTTTCGGTAGTAAAAAATAAGTCACGAAATTGCACAAAAACTAAATTTTACATCGTAATAAACATACACATTCTGATTTTAAGTCTTAAAATCGCACTATTATCTTAGTATCTTAAAAGTCGTGATTTTTCTCGGTGGGTCATATGACCCACTTAAAAGACGCTATTGTGGCGACAACTAAAATCAAATTCCTAGATTTTTTTATTTAAATCAATGGTTAAATAGCGTTGTTCATGTTTAATTGACATCTTTTAATTTTCTACTCTATGCATCAGTTTTGTATACCTACATATCAAAATTTCGTCATGAATATGACGGACAGCGTTTTCGCGGGTCGAAAAAAGTATAATTTATGATTTAATTTTAAGAAAACGTGTTTATTTCTTCTAAATATTTGTTATAAAGCCTTTTTAAAAGAAAATAAACAGTTACAACTATAATTTCAAACAGAGTAGAATACCTTGTCTGTCATTTTTATATGAACGAACAATTCTTTGTCTTTCTTATTTTCGCGCCAGTACATTATAAAATATTTTGTGATATTAAAAAATTGGAATTGGGTGATAAAGAGAACCGCATCGTTGTGATTGCATTAAATAAAGTAGGTACAGTAACAAGAAAAAATATCTGCAGTTACAAAAAGTCATTAATTAAGGTTTTTAATCAAGTGGAGAAATATATATAAGACATACTTGTATAACCCAACGTGCTTTTGACTCTTCATGAACTGAACAAATCTACCGAATTTAGATTTTTTGTCATACTAAAGATGAATGAGTTTTGATAAATATATTTTTTACGTAAAATCACAAAGACCCAGAATTAACACTACGCTCGCACTTGTAACTATTTATTATTGTAACAAAACTTATTATTTCTGTTCTCAGTTCTCATTTTTAAGGAAAACACTTAATTCTCACATTTTCAAGAAATTTGCATGGTTACATGAAAAAAAAATGCAATTATAAAAAACTTATTTTTTTCCCTTTAGCTTCTTACATGATAATGGTTCCACTTAATAAATGAATACTGTCATTTTGACTATAACGCATATATTCACAAGACTTCTAAGTTTTAAATTATGTGAATACCTGATGTGGTGGAAGATCCGTTTTGTAATGCAACCAACCATACCATTCAGCGGGAACCTGAAAATCATAATACCAAAATAATAACTATTTAATATAACATTTATATAGCTAAGCTACAATATCTAACAACTTCTCCAACCAATTGGTACCCGTAAAACAAATCCACATGAAAAATGGCAACAAATCTCACAACCACTACTCTTTGCATATTTTGCCCCTCCATGATATGCATCCTCAGGAGTTATTAGACCTTACAGGTTCCAACTATTTGCTGGTGGAAAATCCTAGATATCAATAAAATTAGTTTCACAGTTGCAACCTCCTTATATTTGTAAAATCAACCAAAATAAAAACACATACTTTAGTTGTTGGAGTAATTGCTCTTTGATGTTAAATTATAACTGTTTTTTTTGTCAAAATGAATATAATAAATGTGGTAGATACTTTTCAATACCTTAATACTTGTATATGTTACAATCGTATATCTATCCCAGTAGTATAAGCATATTATAGTGTAAATGATACTCAAGCTAATGGTACTTTGTATTTTTTTATAAATATTTTTGAGTAATTATCTGACTATTATTTTGCCACCCTTATAATAAGTGCAATAACTGTATGCTGTAAACTACATCAAATATGTCAGAAAAATTAGCTCTACATTTTCTTCTCAGTTGATTTTTTGTATTGACAGTAATTTTGATTTTTTATTATGATATATTCTTTTGATTGTCAAAGATACAAACACAAAACAAAAATTAAATCTTTAATTGTAATTAGCCAAGTCATGTTATTGCACTCTTCATAAAAACAGCACTTTTATTAAACTTATTTATCCATAGGGCCTCCCACCCGAATTTATAATGTGATCAAGGGACTTTGCAGCCATTTGGAGGCCCCTCAGAACCGGAGGCCCAGGGCGGACCGCCCCCTCCGCACTGTTCTGTAACTACTTAATTACCCTGTAATGAACAGTAGAGTTCTAATATAATCTCACTCACCTGACTGGCATCATAGTTTAGATAATATTGGTCAGCATACTCAACCCAACGGTTTCTGCCATAGAAGTAACGTGGGTTCTCATAGTACTTGTTACCAAATTTGTCTTCGCCGATCAATACACCATCTTTTATTTCATCCTGTCTGAAAAGTGAACCAGTAAAACGGAAGGTTTTATTACTTGCTTCCATTTATGCATAAAACGTACATAAGCAAACCCAGGCGGACTAGTTATATTCTTCATTAAACCAACAAGTTGCATAAATAAAAATTTCTAATTATTGAATATTAACATAACCTGATACAATTACATAACAGTAACATTAATTTGCTACCTGTAAAGTTTGTACAGAGAACCTCTGATTCCACCGTTTAGACGAATGATATTAAAAAAATTTGCTACTTTATCCAAAGCCAAATATTTCATTAGAGACATTTTCTTGTTTTTTTTTTCTAATATCTACGACATATTTTTAACATTTGTTATTGCTGTCAAATTTTGACAGTGACGGGAAATTGTGTGACAGCTAGGGATACCGAGTACCTACAACACTTTTACCGTGTATAACGGAGCAAGTCCATATTGAAAAAAAAATCGGTTTCAGAAGTGATAAAAAAATATTTGGAAATCGGTAGTGAGAAGATTTTTAAGTCTTGATGCTTCGCATCAAATATTGACCTACATGCTAGCTGCTTTTATCACTTTTAAATTATAGCTTATTTTAATTTATGTTTATTATTATTTCAAAACTTCGGTCGATAGGTTTGGAACCTACTCGACGCAAACAAACCATTCTTTCCTCTTTATAATGTTATTATAGACTAATAAATAAAAATATTTGAAATAAAAAATGTCAAAATATCCATAAAAATTGTTATTGCTTAACGCTTCAACATATCTGATGGCGAATAAGTTATTAGTTATTACAGTTTTTGGGAAGAACCAGCATCGCTGATTTCTAGACAGAATATTTTTTAATTCAAAATAAGCAAAAAGACCCGTTACATTCAGCCAAAAGTAATGACTGCCTTCAAAAGGTTTCTAATGTTATAGTAAGGAAGTATTTTAAGAGAAAAACAAAGCACAAAAAAAAACGTCACTAGATGGCGACTATTAAAGTTGATTTTTGCAGGAAACGAATGGTCCAAAGACAGGCATTTCCGTTCCTTCTAACCAACATATTAAAAAACAGAAATTTGCTAAGTTCAAAACTTAGATATCAATACAAATACGAAAAAATACACATAAAATATGAGTTGTTTATTGAGTTTTAAAAGTTAATTTACTTATATATACGAAAGAAAACCGGAAAGGTTGTCATAAACACTTGATGACGAGTAAATTTATTGAGTTGAGTTGTGTTGAAATCACACATCATTTTTGTTATTTTTTTGTTGGTTTCGATTGTTATTGTACTTGTTATGGTTGACTACTTACTTGTTTGTTTATATTTTATTGCACTAAAAACAAACACATAAAACAAAAATAAATGAACATTTATGCAAAAGGCGGCCTTATTGATAGGGTAGCAATTTCTACTAGGCAACCTTTGGCTAACAGAAACCATACCAACCAAAAACAAATATAGCAGGTTAGTGCATTAAATTAATAAATAAACTTAACGAGAAAAAGATGGAAAAAAAAGGAACAGATTGACGGAGAGCATTTGTCACAAAGTACAAGAGCTTCTCGTACATTATTTGTATTAAAATCGTTTTCATGACTTACGTTTTATTTTATGAACACTTAATATGCCATACCTTATATTAAAATCTTTTCCCTACTGATAGCGAAAAATCTAAATAAAAATCCAAGTATCCCAACCAGTGTAAATCGATGGAGATATGTGGAATAACAGATTCCAAATATCCCTACCGGTAGCTATAATTGGAAAAAAATCCTAGTATCCCTACCAGTAGGGATATGTGGAATAGGGGATTTTATTCATATTTTTTTTTTGCCATATATTGCAACATAAACATATAAATTGATTCTTTTCCAAAAATTTACACAATAAATTAACAAACTAAAAGTCATTATTATAATATTTCGTGGATTATTTATAAATATTTGAAAAATTAATAAATCATTTATATCTTGCCTTTGGTGCTATCTATACTTTCTATTTTAATATGTCGTCATATGAATGTTATTGAGATAAGGTTCCAGTGCATTAGCGATGAATGGGGCTTATACTAAATTCAAAGTTAAAATGTTAACATAAGTACAAGAACCGGTTACTTACAATTGAAAATGAAACAACTAACATTAAGGTATTTCCTCCAAATTTTTTTTTTTTTTTACCAGCAAAATCTGTTTTAGTTTTTAACTGACTTCATTACTAACAACTATTCCATACATATATTTATATACTAAGTATAAAAGCTTAAAATGTGTTGCTTGAAATTATTGAATAGTGTAATAAAACATAATGACACAAAATTGGGGTTTGTAATCAGTGTGTGGCGCAAGGAAAAAATATGAACACTATTTAAGTTCATAAATAATTGTATGTACATACTTAATCATACACTTTTAAACAATTCAGTCAGCTTTCATCTTTAATTTTTTTATCAATATCATTCAAATTTGTTTTTTTTTTCTTACTTTTATAAACATCTGATGGAAATTCACTATAACCATCAGAGTCAAACTTTTTCTTATTCCTTTTAGTTTTCCTACTAGTATCATGATTATATTTAATGCTAACAATTTCTTTTTCATCAGGCACAACCTCATTCTGATCAGAGTCTATGTTGCTACTGTTATTTACACTGCTACAACGTTTTCTCTTCTTTTTCTTCTTCTTTGTAATATTAACCTCAGCATCACTATTAAGGTTTATATCTTCAACTACTTGAAGATCATCTAAAGACACTTTTTCTTTACTAAGATTCTTAGAATGTGAGTAACCATTATACTGCGGTTGACTCAAAAGCAGCTGCTCCTGTTGTGCTATTCTTGCTAATTTTCCAGTAGCTTTAAGTCCATGACGAGCACCCCTGAAACAAGAATAATTATTGCAAACAACTGGCATGAAACTTTTACTATGCTAACACGTTTACAAATGTATTTGATTAAAACGTGGATGTAAAATATTTAATTATAAGCATATGTTACAAATAAACAAGATTTGCTGCCAACAAACTGCTATGTAGTTTGTTTTACCAAAGGTAGATACATGATAAATTAACACTAAGTAACATAGATTAAATTAAAAAATGTATGAATGTATTACTAACTGGATCAGCTTTTATATACTAATATAACATCTTCTGTCTTCCAACTTAAGTAGTACATATGCGGCATATCAAAACTTAAAAAACATTATGTAAAACTTATTCATTAGATATATTAGGCTGAGAATGCACTGCGTTAACAGTTATTTGGGTATAGCTAAAAGCGCAAAAAAGCATACACTGCAGTTGGGTAATGCATGCTCTCTGTATGAAATGTCAAACATAACCATCATATAAGTAATGTGCTTTTTTATGGTTACATACTTACATTTAATCAATCACATTTCAGTCTATGCCTTATTCTAAGTTCTTCAGTTACATACAAACTTACTTGTGTGCAGTTCTCCCCTCACATGCTGCAAACAACTCCTCATCTGTCATTTTTACAACAAAGCCCTTGTCCATCTCCTTATCCTCCGATTCAGCATCAGAAACATTCTCTACTTTAACCCCACCTTTATCTAAGATAGCTTTTTTAATAAAAAAATCTTTATACTGCTCTGCTGTATTTATGTTTCTATGTTTTCCTTTTATTTTCCAACTACAGTTTGTAATTTCAAACTCCCCCGCTTCTTTTGTTTTGATTTTCTTTGTTTTACCATTTTGCTCTTCAACCTGATACAAAATAAAATAAAATAAGCAGTCATGTTTAATATATTTTATATGTATTTGGGTGATCCCTGTAGAAGTGTACTATATATGAAATATTAAAAACTAATTAATTACATACTTTTTAGATTTTACTCATAGTGAGAAAAAAGTACTTGGATCGCATACCAAGGATACGTTTTAAGGAATCGCCCATTTCATTGAAACTTTAAACAAGCAATAATTTTAATAAGTTTAATGAAAAAAATATTATTATTTACCTCTACATTTTTTGCTGCCTTGTCATATAACTGCGACCACCAGTGATCGGTAAAGTCTGCCGCCGCATCATGTCCAATACCTGCCACACTTCGTTTCAGTTTAGGTTTTAAAGCTTGTGATATGCCGTCCTCATTCTTTCCCAAGCCCTTGCCTAGAAAAGATTTGTTAAATTTTATAGTCACTTTTATAAATTAAATTACTCTCATTCTATCATGATTTCAAACCAATACTTATATTTCTTTTGGCGAAACATATTACAAAATTACACAGCTCTTTATATTATACGCAAATAAAACCTTTGACTATAAACTTTGGTTGGAATTTAGTCTCAATAAGCTTAACGTACCGTCAGACCAGCCATACTTTTCCAGTTGTTTTCTTGCAAAATCCATTGTCAAACATCGGTTAATGTCGTAAGTATTTAATCAAAACCTCCTAGCAACAACAATTTGTCACATGGAAATTATAAATTCTAACCAAATTTGTTTGGTTCGCCAAAAGCCTAAATTCTCTTTGCTCTTTGCCAAAAGTAGTGATGAGCCCCTCACTCGTGAGGTGACTCGTTTGAGTTCCTCATTTCGACAAAATGAGGGAGTACTCGTTTTTCAATTTTGAACCACCTCATTAAGCTCCTCACTTTTTGAGTGAGGAGCTAAATGAGGTGGTGGAGTTTTTGAGTGAAGAGCTAAATAGCGAGTTGTTTCGAATGAAAAGGCGACTCGATACATACTCAATATATTGAGGTTCATAAGATTGAGGGAATGGGTTAAGTTTTATGAGTTTTTGGGAACGCTTCAGGTTTATTTATGTCTTTCTTCGCAAATACGTATTTAATATTTTATAGATAAATGATATTAATTAGTCTAAGTAAAAACCAAAGTTAATAAAAATGTATCGGTTTTATTTAGAAATATATTTATATGATTCGAAATATAAATGATTGATTTTAAAAATGGAGCATTAGGCACTATTGCAAATAAGTTGCGTGTTGTGGTAATTCTGTTAAATAATAATCTAATAAAGTTTATTTCTTAGAATCTAAAGACAAAATATGTTTTGTTTAGCATTATTACCGACTCCCTCCCTCATTTTGTACCAAACGGCAATATTGCACGCGCCACGCTACATACTCATTCACTGCTACTATAACATTACCTATCCTCACCTCAAATGAGTGGTAACTCACGAGCCCCTCACGAGGAAAAATGAGGTCCTCACTCATCCTCATTAAAAAAGAGTGAGTAACACATGAGTAACTCAACGCTAGCCAAAAGACTAGTAGTTCCGAACCGTAGTAGTTCCAGGAACCATGTCCGGACTTGGAACGATATCGGTCCATTCCAATATGTCTACAGTTCCGCAGAGCTGTCGAAGCGAAAGAGATACCTAGGACATGTTCGAAGCAGTATGAGAGAGAGAGTAAACAATAATAAACATATAATGCGATTTTATAGGATAATATGTTTTCAGAATTATGCACTAAAGGCGATAATTCATTAATATTTAGATTTGATCTTGAAGCCTGATATTTAAAGAATTTTGATTGATACAAATGATATTGGATCATCTGATGCCGCCCTGCGATATTTTTTTTTATTTATTTACAATGGGCTCACTCTTGACCTCAATCTAGACTAAAGACATACATGAGATCTACGGTGGGACGAGCCTGCCTAGAAGGAACCTATTCACTCTTACCTTAAATAGGTTTGGGTTGTATACACTCGGGAATATATGAGCCGGCAGGGAGTTCCACTCCTTGGCAGTGCGCAGTAAAAAAGATGAAGAAAAGCGCTTTGTACGGCATCTTGGGATGTCTAGATGGCCGACGGTAAAACGGTAAAGGCGGAATGAGCTCATGCAGCTTCCGAGCACTCCCCGTAGTACATTCTATAAAAAACCGACAGGCAGGCCACATTACGGCGATGGCTCAGTCTGTGCACCTTGGATTCGACTAGTTTTATGTTGCCGATGAGTCTCTTAGCTCTGCGAGTTCAGTGCGGCAAGCTGATATTTAGCTGATCCATCCCACAAGTGACTGCAGTACACGACCGGACTTGCGCTTTGTATAGAGTCAAAGCTGTTCTGGTGTGAAGTACCGCTTTACTCTGTTTAAGATGTCCAGCTTTTTGGCCGCTGTTTGTGCTCTATACTCGATATATTCGCCTAAGTTAAGGTTCGCTGTTTACTTCATGCCAAGGTTCTCAAGGTTGTCCGTCACAGCAATAGATACACCCCGGAAAGTAGGAGTACCGTCGAAGTGAGTCCTTTTTGCACTGAAAAGACACGCCTGCGTTTTGGTGGTATTGAAGCTGACCAAATAGTTGTCACTCCATTGGGAGACAAGACTTAAGGTAGCATGCACGTCTTGTCCACTGGTCCTTGCATCGGATAAATACCTCTCTATCCGTGCTGTCATCTCCATACCCAACAATGCCTGGAGTTAGCAAGTCTTTAATGTGCAGCAGGAAAAGGGTCGCAGAGAGGACAGACCCCTGAGGAACTCCAGCTTCGATCGGTTTTAGGTCAGAGAAGCAACCGTCGATGACCACTTTGATTGAACTTGAATGCCAGACCCTGTCGAAAGCCTTCGAGATGTCGAGAGACACTGCAAGAGCTTCCCCGTGCTTCTCAATGGCCTCTCCCCAGCAATGTGTGACATACACTAGAAGATCCCCAGTGGACCGCCCATGGCGAAAGCCATATTGCTGGTCACAAAGGAGATCATTTTGCTCAAGGTAAATCAATAATTTGCTATTGAATACCTATTCTTTCCATTAATTTGCAAATAATGGAGGTGATATTGATGGGTCGATAATTACAAGGATCGGCTCGGCAGCCTACTTTAAGTAATGGTTGAACATTAGTAAGCTTCCAGGACATAAATACTGAATAAATCCAGACCCGAATTCGAATTCACTCATGTGTCCGAATTCACGTCATTTAATGTAGAATGCTATTGAGTCCATTTTTTGTATATCTACGGATTCCTATACTTATTCCCAGTTTGCCATACCTACGATTGAATGGGTTTTGTTTTTATCACTTACTTTATTTAACCAATTATCCCCACGTATCGTCGGTCCAGTGGTGCAATCTACAAAGTCCAACTTTTCAGGAGAGCAAAAAGGAGACAAAAATTGATACTGTAAATCAGGATTTACAGCTATCTTTACATTTTTTTTATGAGTACAAAAATTTGTACTTTAGATATAAATAAAATTATATTTTCTACGTTATTTATGTAATTAAAGCAGATTAACTTATTTACCGTGGTCAGAATCAGGCAAGTAAAATAATTTCACTGTGTTCAAGTAGCCAAAGTGGTGATAGATGATGTGACGATAGATACGCGAGTTGACTATGGTATAGTTTTGTGTACGACGTACTATTTTGATCGAATACTAGCGTAAGTGATTCATTGCAAGGTAAACTAATCAATCTGCCATTTAAACAAGTTGACCATGGTGATATTTTTATAAGTCCTTAATAGATTTTGGTTTTGGTAAACTGAACATTTTTTCACATAGATTAGTTTACTTTTGCACTAATTTTAAATTTGGCAAATATGCACTGTTGAACAACATCTATCTCGGTAGCTTTTAAACTTACAGTTATAGGATTTTGCCTCATTGTAGAAATATTAAAAAAATAATTTTGGCAAATTTAACTCAAAACTGCCAAAATTGCAGATTGAATAGTTTACCACTGGACCGACGATATCATAGCATAGCAAAAGACACTAGATTTATTTCTGTGTGCAAAAGACATTTAATAAGTCAATAAGTTTCCCTTCTATATCTACATGATTCATCGTCATTCCCAGCGTAGACAAAATTTCCGACCGCTATAGTGAAAAAGAATCAGACCCGATGGCAAAAGTACCCGAGCCTGAAGCAGAATCGTGGCTTGATGGAAAGTTGCCGCAGTAAACACCAAACAAAAAATAAAAGTACTATGTAAATCCATACTAAATGGTCAGGCTAAACTGTAGCTATATTAAGTTTGAGTTTGTTTATACATTAATGCATTTCTCTTGATCAATCAAACCTAGTAGAAAAGGATTGTACTGCCCGATTTACACTACAAAAGTAATTGCATTTAACCACAGAACATAGAGAGAGATTAGAAGTAGTAAGTGGGCGGGACACACGTCGCTGGCATATGCGCTTTTACTCATATGACGCCCTTTCCTCGGATTTACGTTCGTCAGTCGTTCGTCAATCGTCGAGTGGTGATTTTACAGATTTTTTCTATAAAAAATGCCGTTTTGTGCTATTATCACTTGCAAAAAGCAAAGCAAAGTATACAATCTAACTAATGCAAACATTTCCTTTCACTGGTAAGTACAATTTTAGTGCTAAAATATAAAAAAACGTAATAATTTGACACAATGTTAAATAAAATATACATTGATTGCTCAAACCAACATCAATTTTTCTGACCCCATTACTAAACAGCAATGTAAATCATTTTGTGCACTTTTGCAAAAAATAGTGCTGTGCCTCCATTTGTTTGAAATGTACCGATAGGCTGCTGCTACACGGAATCGTATTGTTAATTATATGGATCGTAATCGATAACTAAAACATTTTTATTTAGAGCTTTTCTTTCATCATTTCATAACAACGTTATCGATAAATACTCGTATATGCCATAATTATATAAAACTAAATAATACTGTTTACAAGGGAAAATTATAGATGAACTGATACTGAACAAATGAAATAATGAACTATCCATGCACTTTTTTTACGAAGATTCGGTTAATTATTTACAGATAAATATTACAAAATACTGATGTGCTATAAATATCTAAGTTACGAAGTATATCACCGTTTTATGAACAATACATAAATCAAACGAAACATCGTGAAAAGCTAAGAGAGTTGGCCTAATAGGTCTTGTTAGAAACTGGTGAAACTGGATTTCACTTATTTTGCATTACTTATATTTCAGTTTCCCTAATAACTTTACAACGGATTGCCCTGTTTACATAATTAATTTTGCCCTATCTGTTTTAGACCTAAACCTATCAAATGAATTTCAAAACAACATAATATCTATACAAACAAAAAATCATGTTTTCAACTAACGTAGTATTGTTGGTGGTGTGAATTTAATTTACAAAATTAATTTTTAGGCGTCAATTTAATTTACTTTATTATGCTGATTCATAATCGGAAACTATTATTATAGAAATCGAGTTAAGAAAGCCACAGAACAGCTGTTATCAGTTTTTTTGTTGCTCCATATTTGCGAATAAGTTTATAGACGCATGTTTCAAACGGATGTGACTTTATATGTAGATTGACGTTTGTACGTACTTATCGCTTTTGTGTCTGTCTTCAAACTTTTTTTTTCACGGCTTTCAAACTCGTACTTGACCAGCAATTCCTTATTGTCCAGTCGTTGCAATTAATAATGTAGGTACTACTATTATTACAGATATAAAATTTAGAATAATAAAGTAAAACAAACATGGCTATGATCAATTTATTATTGTAATGATCATATTA